GGGGAAAAAGTTACCTGCCTATATATATATATTTTTAAAATCTTCCAATCCTCTTCATCAGTATATGAATTGAACAGATTTGTCTCCTGCCAAGGAGACTAGCCACAGAGATGACACCTCAAAGATCTGCACCTTCCAGTATTCATGTCCCTTGTTTCGTCTCCTCCCTTCGTGAGTCAGGGCCAGCCCTGAGTGACCAATAGAATCCAGTGAAGTGATGTTGCGTGGCTTCTGAGGCTACACCATAAGAAGCCTTGCAGCTTCTGCATTGGTCTCATGGAACACTCACTCTTGGAGCCCTGAGCACGATGTATGGAGTTCAGCTACCCTAAGGCCACCTTGTAAGAGAGACTGCGTGGAGAGGCTCTGAGATTTCGTGTAGAACGATTCCTGGCCAGCACCCCAGCCATTTGAGTCATCCCAGCTGAGGCCTCAGATGTCCTGTGGAACAGAATTGAGTTGTCTCCACCAAGCCCTGCCTACCAGTTTCACGAGTAAAAGAAAAATTAAGTAATTGTTGCTTTAAGTGATTAAGTTTCAGGTGGTTTGTTATGCAGCAATAGATGACTGAAACATTCCTCCTTCACTTGATGTGAAGTATCTCCTTAGGTGAGAGCAGAGTGAGCAAGGATGTGTCAGGTTAACTCAAACATAGGAAATTTTCCAGTCATCATTGCTGGGGTAGTTGACTTATTCGTACTGTAGAGATACACTGCTTTAGGACTGTCCTCTTATTTATTTATTTATTTATCTGAGAGAAAGTTCTCATTCTGTCACCCAGGCTGGAGTGCAATGGCACGATCTAAGCTCACAGCAGCCTCTGCCTCCCGGATTTAAGCAATTCTCCCACCTCAGCCTCCAGAGTGGCTGGATTACAGGGGTGCGTCACCACACCCAGCTAATTTTTGCATTTTTAGTATGTTTAGTCGTTTCATCATGTTGGCCAGGCTGGTCTCAAACTCCTGACCTCAAGTGATCCACCCACTTCAGTCTCCCAAAGTGCTGGGATTACAGGCATGAGCCACTGCGCCTGGCCAGGACTGTCTTCTGAGAAGTAACACTTCTGTGGTTAAGACTCAGGGGACCCAGAGCCATCTCTGGAGCTTGTGGCCAGGTGTAAACCACAACTCAACATTTAAATATAGATAAATATATACATTAAGCTGAACATGAAGGGCAGCCTTCTATAGAAAAGAAGTCGCAAGAGTATAAACAGCAGGAGGAGTACAGGCAGAAGAAGCAACCAACTTCTACCTGAACTCTGTAGGGTTAGAGTTCCCTTTTCAGGACCTGCTTCCCACCCATATCTGTAACACGCATGTTTGGAATTCATGCCTGCAGCTGCAGCAATGTGACCGGGGTGCACACCAATCCAGAGCCAATATAGTGACTAGTGACTGAAACACTCCTCCTTCACTTGATGTGAAGTATTTCCTTAGGTGAGTGATATGATTATCTCCCTTGAGAGTTTGAGACTAGCATGCCCTTGGACAGAAAGGCCATGAGGAATCAGGGTGGGATAGCTGTTGTCAGCCATGTAAATGCTGATGAGTAAGTAGAGAGCTGGTTTGCAAAAATAAGTAGTGATGAGAATTCATGGGGGCAGGTGAAAAAGAGAGGAGGAAGAAAAAAAGAAAGAATAACAGAGAAAGAAAAAGGATGAGACAGCGCTAGTACTAGCTCTGTTCATTAGCTTTCTAGTCCCCAGTTCTTAACATTTAACTTAATTTTCTTGGCTGGGCACGGTGGCTCATGCCTGTAATCCCAGCACTTTGGGAGGCCAAGGCGGGCGGATCACGATGTCAAGAGATCGAGACCATCCTGGCCAACATAGTGAAACTCCGTCTCTACTAAAATACAAAAATTAGCTGGGCGTGGTGGCGCGTAGTCCCAGCTACTCGGGAGGCTAAGGTAGGAGAATTGCTTGAACCGAGGAGGCAGCGGTTGCAGTGAGCCGAGATTAAACCACTGCACTCCAGCCTGGCACCTGGCGACAGAATGAGACTCTGTCTCAAAAAAAAAAAAAAAAAAAGTGAGGATAAAATTAAAAAGAGTGATGGTGATATGGGAATGAATAGAAAAGGGACTTTATCTTCACTTTTAAGGGTCCCTGAAAAGATCACTGTTGGATATAGGTTCTATTGTGGGTTTGAGCTTTTCTCATTAATGAATACTTCAAAATAGTGAGAGTTTCAGAGACTGTTTCTCTAAAATTCATTTGTTATATTGTTTATGAAAAGGAATAGCATCACTGTGGGACAGAGTTCCCAGAGGCATCAGAAGGCAAAGGCAGATACTTCTTTATTTCAAATGAATGAGAGAGGAACAAACTTAAGGCAGGAGGAGGCACTGGGAAACACAGGCTCTGGGTTTTTCCAGTCCCTGCTCAGCCGCTCTCATCGCGACCACAGATTCATCCCTTCACCTCTCCAGATCTCTGCTTCCTCTGTTACATTATGTGGTGGTCACAGTTATGTAGTTATATCTGGTCATGGATATCTTATAAACATAGATTATTTTATAAATTTTATCTATGATTATAAAATATCTAATGAGGATCTTATCCAAAACCATCTTCACATAAAACCTTCATCTCACTCTGAAGGAGAAAATGTGTGTGCTGGGTAAAGACTCTATTGCCTAAGATCTGGAACTTAAATTTGCAGTAATTTCTAATACTTAAGCACATGTACTTTTCTTCCCAATTGTGAAATAAAGGACAGGAAATAAAAAGGGGAACATTCTTCATGTTCAAATTAAGTCGGCTGGGCGCAGTGGCTCACCCGTGTAATCCCAGTACTTTGGGAGGCTGACGTGGGCAGATCACCTGAGGTCAGGAGTTCAAGCCCAGCCTGGCCAATACAGTGAAACCCCGTCTCTATTAAAAATACAAAAATAAGCCGGGCATGGTGGCGTGTGCCTGTAGCCCCAGCTACAGGAGGCTGAGGCAGGAGAATCGCTTGAACTTGAGAGGCAGAGGTTGCAGTGAGTGGAGATCGTGCCACTGCACTCTAGCCTGGGCGACAGATCGAGACTCCATCTCAAAAAAAAAAAAAAAAAAAAAAAGTCGGAGGCTCATTTAGGATACAAACTAGATGTGAATAAGTGTGGGAAATTTAAAACATAACCAAATTTAAACCTCAAGTGATCAGTATTTGATATCGTACTGAGATGTCAAAATACTGTTTCTCAGAGAAACTGACTTACCTTTCTTTTCTGTTACGTAGGCAATGCATGTGTATTGCAGTAAAATTCAAGCCACATATAACAAATGTAAATATTTGGTGTGTGTATTTTTAAATATATTCTCACAAACCCTGTGCCATTTGCTTAGAACAGATCTGATTGTTCATATGCAATGCTTACATCCTCAATGAGGCTATAAACTCCATGAGGAGAACTCCTTTACCATAAAGCCACATGCCTCCCACCCCCACAGTTCTGTCAGTTTCTTTGGGAAGGAATGGGGGAAACTTTATAAATGCTTCCTTCACTAACACTCATACATTCATTCATTCATTCACTTAATAAACGTTGTAATGAGCACCTAGTATGGACTTGGGCCAGGTGTCGGGGATTCAAAGGTACATCCACTCCTCCCCTTTTTTTGAGACAGAGTCTCCCTCTGTCACCCAGGCTGGAGTGCAGTGGTGCGATCTTGGCTCACTGCAACCTCTGGCTCCTGGGTTCAAGTGATTCTCCTGCCTCAGCCTCCCCGAGTAGCTGGGATTACAGGCATACACCAACATGCCTGGCTAATTTTTGTATTTTCAGTAGACATGGGTTTTTGCCACGTTGGTCAGGCTGGTCTCGATCTCTCGACCTTGTGATCCGCCTGTCTTGGCCTCCCAAAGTGCTGGGATTACAGGCGTGAACCTGTAATGATACATTTCACTGTTGAATTTTCTCAATTACTATGAGAATTACATACTTTACAGTATGTCTTAAAGGGGATGCACCTTTGGGCTGAGCGCAGGTGTTCATGCCTGTAGTCCCAGCAGGCATGAACCTATGAACCAAAGTATGTAATTACTTTCTCAGGAAAGTGACAATTCGGATAGGGAAACGATACACAATTAACTATTTTACTAAGTACTTGTGCAATTTTAGAACCATATGTGAAAGTCTTAAGAAAACACAGAAGGCGGCCAGGTGCTGTGGCTCCTGCCTGTAATCCCAGCACTTTGAGAGGCTGAGGCAGGATGATCCCTTGAGCCCAGAAGTTCAAGATCAGCCTGGGTGACATAGCAAGACCCCATTACTACAAAAGCAATATATATCTATATATATATGGCTGGTGGTGCTTGCTTGTAGTTCCAGCTACTCAGCAGGGAGGCTGAGGCAGGAGGATCGCTTGAGCCCAGGAAGTCAAGGTTTCGAGGTTGCAGTGAGTTGATTGTGGCACTGCAGCCTGAGTGACACAGCGAGGCCCTGTCAAAGAAAGACGAAAGAAAAAAAAGAAAGAAAGAGAGAGAGAGAGAGAAAAAAGAAAAAAAGAGAAAAGAAAGAGAAAAAAAAAAGAAAAGAAAGAAAGAAAGGGAGAAAGAAAGAAAAGATAAAAAGCACAGAAGAGGATTGGGAGGTTATGGGTTACAGTTATTGAGGGTGTGACCCTGGCCAGGCAATTAGGGGGTTGTAGGAAGGGTGATAAGGGGAGAAGAGGATTTAGGAATACAAATTTCAGGGTCTTTTTGTGTTCGCAGGAATTTCTGTTCCCTCACAACTTTCACCATAAGATAAATCTAATGTTCGACTAGAGACCGCTCCCGCGCCTTGAACTTGCAAATTTATGAACCAGGGGCAAAAAAACCCGGATGCGGAGCCTGGCCTCCCACCAGCAAGAGAGCCCACCAAGTCCCAGGAGGGGCGGGGCCAAGGGCGGGTCGGGCCAGAGCTTTGGGCGGGGTTGGCCGTGCTTGCGCCGGAACCGGCCCGCCCCGCCGCTAGGGGCTGACGGAGAAGCCAGGCGTGGATTGGTGTGTGAGCACGTCGGCCTCTCTTCATAGGCCGCGCAGGACTACTCGAGAGACTTTAATTGGCTCAAGAGGCGCTGAGCGTTCATTGGCTGGGCTGGGTCGTCCGGGCGACGAAAAAGGGGAAGGGGTGCGGGGCCTGGCGGGCAAACTGAGGCTACGGACTGTTGGGTGGTTCCGCGGGGCGTTGTCGGGAGAGCTGCGGAGCTAGGTGTCCAGGGTTCACGCCACACTCCAGGAGGTGCCTGAGCGAGTGAGCCGACCAGCGAGCCCCGCGGGTTGGGACCATGGGCTGCTTCTTCTCCAAGAGACGGAAGGCTGACAGGGAGTCGCGGCCCGAGAACGAGGAGGAGCTGCCAAAGCAGTACAGCTGGGATCAGCGCGAGAAGGTAATGAAAGTCGTGTAGCCGCCGTCTCGGCCTCCCTGAGCCGCTGCGCCAAGGTCCCTTATGGCCCGGTACCACTGAGGGGGCCGACCCTACAGCTGCCGCACTCTGTTGAACGCGGATAGCTGAAGTCCGGGTGCACGACTTTTTGGGACTCGGAGTCGTGAAGTACAGCGCCAGCGAGGGCGCCTGGAGGGTTGTGGAGCTCCGGAAGGAGTCTTAGAGTTTGTTGTCTTGTTAGACAGACCCACCCTGGAGCTTTCTCGGGCTCCCAACCCTGCTGCCTTGCTCTGACTTCCTGTCGGAGATGATCGGTTCTAGAGAGGGAAAGAGCCGAGCATGCCCTGTATCTCAAATCACCTGGTTTCATCCACTGGCAGCACCAGGCGGGGTTTTGTCCAGTCGTCGAGTTATGTATATGGGACTGATTCTCATCTCTTCCGGGGCTTAATGTGCTGTGGCTGTTTTCTCTTTTGTCTGCCCTCCCCGGTAAATCTCTTTGGTGCCTCATGATATATTTCACTGCTGAATTTTCTCAATTACTGAGTGGACTGTTTAATGTACGGCTTTATTCTCCCTCCGCTTCCAGTTATCCGAAAGAAATAATGACTATCGAATCAGTCTTAGAATGTGTATTAAGACTGTAAGGTGAAAATAAGCGGCATAAACCAGATAGTATTTTCCTGCTGGTTTAAATGAATGAAAATGTCCTTATTTTCACTTTTGTATATAGCCAGAAACCAAAAAACTTTGAAAACGTCCATTAGTCTTACACAAAACACACTTGGTCATACATTTCACAATAGTTCCTCTTTCTACATAGTTCTTCATTTGTGCCTACTAAAATACTTTGATAGACTTACCAGTTATTGCTCCCAAACAAAATAAGGGATTTTTCAAATAAGTATTATGAACAGTTAACTCCTTGCTTAAGGCAACATATGTTTACCCAAGAATACTTTATAGTAAACGTATTGACGTTTTGGAGTCATAGAACTTTCTGCATGATTTCCAATCCCCAAGAGAATGTATTCAGGTAAGCTCTGGTCTCGAAGAGTCAGAATTAAGAAATTGAAAGCTTTTTGCAGTTTTTCTCAGCCCCATCTTTCTCCCCCTACTTCTCATACACACCCTTCTTGGGTCACTCAGTACATTCTCTCTTACTCATACTCGATAGCATTATTTTATAATGTAGGGGAAGAAAGTACTGTGCTGTCTGTTTCAGAAGAAGAATGCACCTGCCATTTAAAGTTTGATAGGCGGTTTTTAAAAGATCACTAACAATGTTCTTTTAGCTTGAACTGTCTGCCACAGAGAAAGCTGTATATTTTATTTTTATTTTAGTTTTTTCTTCTGAACCCAGGCTACATCTAAATTACGTAAAATGCCTTTGTTTTTTATTTATAGTAGTCTTGGTTGCCTATGTATGACTCATCGTTTCACAATAAATTGTTTTACAGTTAACGTTTATTAACATACTATTTGGGTTAGTTGGGATTTCTCATGTTAATCCTTCTTTTAGATAAGTGGGTGTGTCCTGGCTTTTTTTTTTTTTTTTTTTTCTTCTTTTGCCCATTGGCTGAGTAAATGCGTTGAGAAATATAATACTGGACACCAACATCTAAGCTTTTTCCTTACAAATGAGTGTGTAGTAAACTTTCAATTGTAGACACTGTTTTGAGCTTACAGAGAACATTTTTTTTTTTTTTTTTTTTTTTGAGAAACAGTATACTAAGTTCTGTAGTTGTAGAGATGTAAGAGATGTTACTGGATATGTGAAATAAGCTCATGCTTCTGGGTGTGTGTATAATAAACGTCAAAATCTTAATCAACTCAATGAATCAAAATGAGAATTTCTAACCAAATGAGCATTATATTCTGAAAACAACCCAATTTTAAAATCTTTTGGACTATCGAAGAGAATTACCGGCTTACGTTTTGAGACAATGCAGATACCACATTTCCCAACTAGCTTTTTCTTTTTCGACTTTTTTTCTTTTGGAATTACTAGGAATTCTTTCTAAGGTGCCTCATTTAAGATAGCTTGTTAAATTTTATACAATTTAAAATATTTTTTTCTGGGACCAGGCATGGTGACTCATGCCTGTAATCCCAGCACTTTGGGAGGCCAAGGCTGGTAGCTCTCTCGAGCCCAGGAGTTCCAGACCAGCCTGGGCTACGTGGTGAAACCTCATTCCTACTAAAAATACAAAAATTAGTGGGGCATAGTGGTGCATACCTGTAGTCCCAGCTACTCGGGAGGCTGAGGTGGGAGGATCACCTAGCTCAGGACTTAGAGTCTGCAGTGAGCCATGATTGGGCCACTACACTCCAGCCTGGGCAACAGAGTGAGAATCTGAAAAAATAAATAAATAAAATATGTTTTTCTAGTTCCTTGCCTCCCATCAGGTCAATTTGGGCTAGTGTGCAAATGTTCTGTATTACTCCAATGATACTTTTACTGAACATGGTCTTGTACCTTAAAAGGGACAGAATGCAAATATAGCCCAGAGAACATAAATGAGATATGATGCATGCATATTAATAGAAATGATTTGTATTAAAAGTTTAGGCTTCTGGAATGCGATCATGGATTATAGCATAGACAGTTTTAAAGTTCTATCAGACAATTACCATTCAACTTGTAAGACTTTTAAGTGTAAAAACAAAATGGGTTGCCTGAAAAATTTCCTTGCAACTTGGAAAAGGGCGTTTATATTTTTCCTTAGGTTGTGTAATCAGAGTATCTTTTTTTTTTTTTTTTTTTTTTTTGAGATGGAGTCTCTGTTGTTGCCCAGGCTGGAATACAGTGGCGCGATCTCAGGTCACTGCAACCTCCGCCTCCCGGGTTCAAGTGATTCTCCAACCTTAGTCTCCTGAGTAGCTGGAATTACAGGCGTGCACCACCATGCCTGGCTAATTTTTGTATATTTTTAGTAAGACAGAGTTTCACCATGTTGGCCAGGCTGGTCTTGAACTCCTGACCTCAGATGATCTGCCCCCCTCCCAGCCTCCCAAAGTGCTGGGATTACAGGCATGAGCCATTGCACCCAGCCTAGAGTATCTTTATTGAGGGACACCCCTTGGGTTTTGGGGTTTGAGTTGTGTAATTGGGTCAGCCTTAGGGGACTGAAGCTGAGAGAAATTGTCTCAATTAGAAAGAATGTTTGGGGACTAAGCATTGTCATAGCAACTGACATACTGTAGTCAACAGTGTAAGAAGCTCATTTTCTATTGCTGCTGACTTTGAAAAAGAAGACAGTTTACTATACAATTCCTACACTGATGTAATGAGAAATATTTTTGGATTGTAAGACTTGTGTTTACATTATTTCAAAAGAAATGTTTTTATCCTTATCTGTATGCTGCCACCCATAGGTAGGCAAATTATTCAGTATATATGTACTCAAACACCAAGTAAGACTCAATTATAAGACTTATCCCTGCCCTGCAAGAGTTTACTGGCTTTCTGGAGTTAAAACAGGAAATATTTAAGTACACATGAGGTGAGGAAAAGTGGTACAGAAAAGCGGTTTTCATCTTCCAGTTATTCATGCCCATACTCTTCCTCCTAGATAATAGAAATGAGGATTAACTCTCTAAACAATGATGGCTTAAGTATGAAAATTGTGATTTGAGTATGGACAACACATGTTGTATCTGTTATATTTGCCTCATATTCAATAGAAATAATACTAAACAAAAACCTTATGCCAGAAATTCAACTATCTATTGTGTAACTTTGGGTAAAGCAGCCAGTTTGTGCACTTCACGTTCCTCAGCTATGTAGTAGAAGAAAGCTAAAGATTTCTCTACTGTTTAGTAAGGTTAAGGCCTGTTCTGAAGAAGAGGTTTTAGATAATAATGGTCACCTTGAGGAAAGAACTTAAACCAGAGGTTGGGCATGACAGAACTGGTTTTAATATAAGGCAGGTCATAATTCCCAGAGTTGGTCATCAGTGGAAGGGGTAGCTTTGTTGAGGGCCTGATCTTCTTGTTAGTCAAAACTTTCGGACAGTTGGGGTGATCATCTGCTAGAAAGAAGTGTCTGCACTGAGTAAGAGGAGGCTAGATACTGCTTTTATCCTTCTTTTAAGTATAAAAAGTATTCTAGTTACCCATTGCTGTGTACCAAACCACCCTAAAACTTAATGGCTGCAAATAATGGCAAATATTTTGTTTACAACTCTTTAATTTGTGTAAGGTTAAGCAGGGTGACTCTTCAATGTGCTATCAGCCGCGACAGTTTTCAAGATGGCTTGACCACCTAGCTGGCTGGCAAGTTGATGCTGGTTTTGGGCTGGGAGCTCAGCTGGGGCCCCTCCATGTAACCCTGGCTTCCTCACAGTGTGATGGCAGGGTTCCAAGGGCAAGCATCCTAAGAGAGATTGGCAGAAGCTGCATGATTTTTTCTAACTAGATTCTTAAGTGAATTCTTAAGTCACTTAATTTGACTTAATTTGAATGTGGCAGAAGTAATGCTGAGGCAGTCACAAATGCCCACCCAGTTTCAAGAGGAGGTGACCTCTTAATGGGAGGAGTGTCAGAGCGTTTGCCAGTAGGTTTTAAATCTTCTACATAAAGTTGTTTAAAGGATATAACTAGCTCTTTGTTTGTTAACTTTTAAAATAGCTTTTTAGAGATATAATTCATATGCCATACAGTTTACCCATTTAAAGTATATAATTCATTCTAACTATATATATATATATATTTTTTTTGAGATGTAGTCTCCCTCTGTTGCCTGGGCTGTAATGTAGTGGTATGATCTCAGCTCACTGTAACCTCTGCCTCCTGGGTTCAAGCGATTCTCCCACCCCAGCCTCCTGAGTAGCTGCGATTACAGTCATGTGCCACCATGCCCAACTAATTTTTGTATTTTTTAGTAAAGATGGGCTTGTGCCATGTTGGCCAGGCTGGTCTCGAACTCCTGGCCGCAAATGATCGGTCTGCCTCAGCCTCCCAAAGTGCTGGGATTACACTTTATTTCAGAACTAGTAACT